GAATTTTGGAAATATTCCGGATCCCGGTCCGCCGGACCAGGAGCTTGGTCTGGCGGACCAAGCTTAGTCCGAAGCACGCGGTCCGCCAGTCTTGAAGGCTTGGTCCGGCTGACCAAGTTTTGGTCAGCTCCGGACCAAGTTTCCTTCTTCGCCTGCTCAGTCCGATGCTCGCGCCGTCTGACCTGGAGGATTGGTCCGGCTGACCAACTTTTGATCAACTCCGGACCAAACCTCTTGGTTCCTTTCCGGTCCGCCGTTCCAGCATCCTTGGTCCGCCTGTTTCCTGCGTCTGGTCCGGGGCTGACCAACTCTTGGTCAGCCGGACCAGATCTGGACAGGCGACCTCGGACTGCTCCTCCGGACTGCGTGATCTGACCAGACTTGGTCCGGGGCTGACCAAACTTGGTCAGCTCCGGACCAACGCACTGAAAACTCCTTTTCATGCTTGTTTCGGTCAAATCTCGTTTCCATTCTTCGTATTCTTCACGTATAAGTCCATCCCTATTGGTGTGTGACCCTGTAGGCCCATTCTAAGTGGTAGTGACTTTAGGAACCTTTCCCGAACCACAAGTCATGGTTAGCCTCTAGCAAGACGCCATGACCACCTATTTAGAATTGAGTTAGAGGTGATCTAACCAAGGCATTAACAGCTCGAATTCTGATCCTTTGTCTCACGATATCATAAGTTGAACAAGGGCATGGTTTGAGCTACCCTTCAAGTTCAACTGCTTTCTCGTCTTGGCAAATCGACTAATAAAATAGATGCAACTTCATCTATAGCGTGGCCACGCGTTTTCATAGTCCGACTTCCACGAGAGGGCCCAGCGATATCTCTCCTGTTAAGGAGGTGACAAATCCCATATTGCATGTCTACTATCTCTATATGATTCGTGAACGTATCTGATCAACGCCGTTATAATCATCCGGTTAAAGACGACGTTTGACGCAGTCAAGACACGTCACTCCTCATATCAGATACTCTAGACATCTTAGGTATGAGGATCCATAAACGAACCGCTGTATGAGATTCAAGTCATGACTCTGTCCATGTGACAATCTCATGCGGGTCATCCAGTCACTCGTTCACAACGAGTACCCATGATTGTGATATGCATCCAAAGCATCGATCACTCCTCATGCTAGTCTTAATTCAACATTGTTCCCACAATGTTGACTGACTAGGGAGTTTAGAATCATTCGCTAATGATTCAAGGATGCCGAAATATAACAAACATGTCAATCATATAACGGGAATGTAATGCATTCATAAATCAATGAATCAATACAAAGTCAAAATGTCATATTACGGATTATCCTAGAGCATTACAACCAACAATGCACCCATAGAGATGATTTGACGGTATCGGTGTTACTGATAGACTCAATGGGTCGAGCTATGACTTGTATATGTCCTGGACTGGTGATCCCAACGATGTATGCTATCCTATGTATGTGATGCACATAGAGACGATTTGACGGTTAATGTCCGATGACTTGTCATCTGGGCTGATTGTGATTGTTACATGAGCTACTGTTGGTGAAATTAGGATTCGTTATATGACATGTGCTATATATATATATGTATTATGTGTATAAATATTGCTCTTGATTGACCATTTGCAATTTGAGTATGATCTTCGGGTTTAACCCGAAGTACTCACTAAGCATATAACTTATGGACGTTGTTATACAACGTTTCAAGCTCGGAGCAGCTTTGGCAACAACAGGACGAGGGCACTGGAGACGTGTGAGACTTTTGGGGGATCATGTACATTTCGACCTTATACGTACACTGTTTTTCTTTTTCTCTGGATAGTGTATACTAACTATGTATTATATCGTATCTACCGTCCTTATGTTGTGCTTTGTATACGTCTACTATAGATATGGGTTTGCTATGTATTTACATATTTCCGCTGCGTATGTTTAATATAAAAATATTTTAAATTCCCGCTATTTTTGATATACGGTTTGATCGTCCATGTGATGTAACTCGTGGGCGGGACACAGGTTACAGGCGTCACACTTAGTTCCTGGATTTGCAATGTAAGTTGCAATCGCCCAAGCCCACAGTTGCATGCGCACAAGAGGCCCTACATATTTAACTTCCAGTAATTAGATTTAGTCTTCATTCTAAAATATTAAAAACACAACAGCAAAATTAGTTAAAGAAAAAAAGCACAATTAAAGTCTCTTGAACTGCAAAAAAATTGAAACCTGCAGAAACAGGAAACATATTTAGGAAATCTTGTATTCATCAATAAAGGAAAGTTGGCACCGAACAATTAGCAGGACATAATCGTATTCAAATGCCAGTGGATCAATATGATTTTTTTCTAAAAAACAACAAACCAGCAAGATCCTTCATCTCGAAGAACCTGATAAAACCTACACTGCACTAATAAGTAATGTCAACCAGAATTGTATCACCACAGTTAGAAGAATCGCCATTGTGTCACCAGGCACCACATAATTTTAGGTTATCGACAAACGAAACTAGTCAAAACAAGATCTACAACTAAACAAATGATGCCTAAAACATTGTATCCAAACAAAAATGCGGAGAAGAAATAGCAGAAGGCAGCAATAATGAGATATGCATGAGTTATTCTATTTTATCTATCGTGATATAACAACAAGAATGTCCACAATTAAGCAGCATAACAACATATATACCATGTTCTCCTACATAACATAGAGTTTGTCAATGCTAACCTAAAATGTTCCTTCAGGCAGACAGGATACTAGACCCCCTGTTAGAACAGTCACATAATGTCTCTTAAGAAAGAGAGAGGATGTTATTCTACATGAGATAATGAAGATTCTCTTTGATGTAGAGGAAATCAACATGAGTCTAGCCCATGTCTATTCCCTCTCCAACTTGGTTGCAGATGAGACTGACAGTAGAAAAAGACCTCTCAAAAGGAGAAGGATGGAACTGTGCATTACATCGACGACGCTTAGACGTGCAGCTCTCAGAGGGATGATTCTCAGCATCGAGCTTCCTTCGAACCCCTTTAACCACCTGCTCCTCAGCTGGTGAGAGAGGGAATATCCGGCAACTGACTCGGTACAATGAGCTATGGTTATCATACATAATTCGTTGATCACAATTCTTGTCGCAGGCATGAGTTAGCTCTGTTAGTTTGCACCGATACATATTCCCACAAACATTTTCATTCTCACATTTCCAGTCACACTTGTGACAAGGGACGGCTCCACTGCGACCCAGAATGGTAGACAAGTAAATAACGTTTGCAGAGCCAACCATCGGGGATTTTCCAAATACCTCCATCTTTTCTCCAAACAACAAGCAATTTCCTTGGATCTGATAGCTCCGAAAGCCTTCACTTTGCAGGATGCAAGAAAGCCTAAGAAACGATCAATATCATCACAAGGGAAGGAGGCATGCGTGACGTAGATTGTTTCAAATCTAACTAATCAAATCCACAAGTTGGATAATCTATCAGATCTTCAGCAACCCCCTTTCCAAAATCATATAAATTGCACTCTACACATATAGAGAACATCATTAACTTTCATATAAATGAAAACAAATTAAAAGAACCCACTTGTTATGTTATGTTATGTTATGTTCTGTAATGTTGCTTTTCAGATCAAAGATATTTGCACAGTATGTCGTCAAGTGTATACACAGTTGCATCCATAACGCAGATACGCCACTAATACACAGATTCCGCACATTGGAAATGACAAATTCAATTAAATTTAACAACTATACCTAATCGCAGCAAAATGCAGCTGACTACGTAGCTAAGAGATCTGACGACAAGAACAATGGAAAACGAAGCGAAACGGACAATAAAGGAGGAGATTGTCCAGGAAAATTAAGGTATCAGAAGCGAACTTCAAGGCATACCCAAGCTAGGAGGAGCAGCAAGTGACTAGCAGTAGTTGTGGCAGTGAAACCCTAACCCTAATTGCGACTCAGACGAAGAATAAACAGAAAAAAGAAAGTTGGGGAATATGATAAAGAGATGCACACAGTTCTAAATTTCTAACGTGATATCTGGTCCCACTTACGGGTCCCACCTCGTAGGTTGACAAAAAATTATTTACTTATTGTGATGACGAAACAGTTACATATAAACAAAAAATGAAGGAAAATTCAGATACTAACTGTTGTTCGAATATACATAAGTGATATACATATATATATTGAAACAACAATCTCACATAAAAAGATGTTTCAAGAAATTTACAACTGATTCTATTTCTTTGATACAAGCAAGTACACTTCAACATTTTCAAATAGCACTCAACCTTTTCGTTTTACTTTCCCTGAGTAAAACCTCGTACCACAAGAAATCTTATCAGCCCATACAACACACTCTGTGTGCATCGCACATTATTCTAGACCACGTCTAGATCAAGTGACGACTCTCACTCAAATACACTTCGCACTCTCACAAGTGTTTTCTATACATATTACTCTCACCGGATTTGCTCTATCCTCTCTCTCTCTTTTTAAATGGACTCGACAATCTTGTTGTTGTCACTACTTCTCATTTTATAGTTCACCACAAATGCCTCTTCATTGGCTATATTTTATATTCTTTTCTTTTCTCCATGTGATGTGCCCAGACTTACTCCACTTTTCATGTGCTCAACTTATTCACTCCTCTTTATGTCTTGAGTGTTGAGTTGTTACAGTTTTCATTATTTCCATCCTCGACTTCTCTTTGTCTTGAATATGTTTACATTAACAATCTCCCCCCTTTTGACTTTCTACTTATACACATTCTTCAAAAACACATTCATCCACTTGACTCACCTTTACTCAATATTTTTTAGTCATATCTCCCTCTATGTGTAAGCAAAAATTCAAAAACATACCCGACTTTCTATTGCTCAATTCCGGATCTGTGTCTTAGGATTCTTGAAAGAGTTTCTAAGGGTCTGGTCGTCAGTCCAAGTATAGCAATTGTTTGATGTCCTTTCTCTGGTTAAAATATACTTGTTATCTGCATTGATCACACAACATTGTTAATTTAACTCTCATGCCATTATCACATAGTTGACTAACATTGATCAGATTACAAACCTTGAACTACCTTAACATCCATCAGCTTGGATAAACCACCACAATCTAGGGTCTCTTTACTGGTGATCTTCCTTTATTCTCGTCTCCAAACGTGACAATGTCGCTTGTCAGATCTACTTCAAAATCTGTCAGAAGTTTTTGACACCCTGTCATATGTCTTGAACATCCGTTATCCAAATACCAGACATTGTTTTTGCTCGTTTGCTCAGGCATACAGGCAATATTACACGACATATTGGATTTACGAATCTACCTATGATTCCTCGAAGAATAAGAATTATTCAAGTTTGTTTGAACATACCAGTTAGAGTTCTTTTTCCTTGGTAGGTAATAGCATTCCTTTGAATATGTCCTTTCTTCCCACAATAATAGCAACTTCTGTACTCTTTTTGTTTCTGAAAGGTTCGTAAATCCACTTTAACTCTTGGAGAGTTTCTAACAGTGCCAAAAGTTCTACGTACTAAGTGAGGTACTTCTCGTTCAAGATTTCCTCCAGATACAAATGTTGGCTGATATTGCTCCTTTCCAGCATACCCAAGCTCCGACTGATCTGGTGCATTCCTCTTTTGTCCAAGCAGATGATCCAATTTTCCAGTTCTACTACCAAGAAGATGCAGATTTTTCTTTGTCTCTTCTAGTTGACATCGCATAAGTGATGCCTCTTCTTCTTTTTGCATCAGTGACTGCTGAGTCGATGTTAGTTGCAGTTGGAAATCTCTTAACTCCTTTTCTAGACGTTGATTCTTATCCAACAAATGCTTGTTTATCTGAATCAATTTGTTCATGTCTTTGAACAAATCCTTTTGAGTTATTTCTTCGTCATCACTTGTATCTTCTTTTTCCCCGATCACTCGAACGTAATGAGATCAGATAAATCTTCATGATCACTTTCCGACTTTGTTTGTTCCTCATGTGTAGTGAATGTTTTTCCTTTCTTCTTAACAAATTCCATCTTGGCATGTCCATAACCTGAATTTCTATCACCAATTTGCTCAATTTTTCCTTTTGTTTTGAAAAATCTGTCGACAACAAATAATAGTTCTTCTTTCAATATCTTTTCCAATGACCTTTTATCAAGTACTTCTCATTTCTGAGGAACAACTTCTGGTGCATGTAAAGTGTTTCCTTTATTCTCTCGTGTACTAGATCCTTCATTCATAAGTAGCAACCTTAACTCGTGTGCTGCAAAAGTACCCATGGTTTCCTTGAAGCTTACAGTATCCAAGTTGTTCACGCCTTCAAAAATCAAATTTTAAGAGTGATACTTAAGTGGTAAACTGTTGAGTAGTTTCTTCACGAGTTTGTCATTCTTGAACTTTCTTCCAAGTATACTTGCTTCGTTGGACAAAGCACTTAACTTTCCACAGAACTCCATGATACTTTCATGGTCTTCCATCTTCAATCGTTCGAATTAATAATCAATCATGTCTAGTCTGTTTCTTTTGACTTTAGACGTACCTTCATGGATGAGTTCTAGAGTGTCTCATGCTTCATTTGTTGTCTCGCATCTTTGGATCTTGGTGAATTCTTCATGATGTACGGTGCTGAAAATAATTAACAATGCCTTTGATTTAAAGCAGAAAGCTTTTTCTCTCCAATTGTCCATCTTTCGTTAGGCTTGAACTTTTCTACTCCATCAATTATTTGAGTAGGTCATGTCCACTCGGTTGTTACTGCATTCCACACATCTTCATCCATACCTCGTATGAAAGCGTTGATTTTGACCTTCCAATAATCGTAGTTCGTTGAGCCGAGCATTTCATGTCTTCCAAGAGCTTGTATCTCCATCGTGTAAGGCTGGATCGTTCACCGATATGAGAGGAAAAGAAAATTCATACGATCAGTGACCCGCTTTGTCGCTTTGATACCAATTGAAAAAGCAATCTCACACAAAAAGATATTTCAAGAAATATACAAATGATTCTATTTATTTGATACAAGTCAAGTACACTTCAACATTTTCAAGTATAACACTCAACCCTCCTGTTTTACTCCTTCTGAGTAAAACCTCGTACCACAAGAAAATCTATCAATCCATACAACACACTCTGTGTGCAGCGCACACCCGTGTTATCCTAGACCACGTCTAGACCAAGTGACGACTCTCACTCAAATACACTTCGCACTCTCACAAGTGCTTCTCATAAGTGTTTCCCATACATATTACTGTCACCGGATTTGCTCTATCTTATCTCTCTCTCTCTTTTTCAATGGACTCGTCAATCTTGTTGTTGTCACTACTTCTCATTTTATAGTTCACCACAAATGCTTCTTCATTGGCTATATTTTATATTCTTCTCTTTTTTCCATGTGATGTGCCTATACTTGCTTCATTTTTCATGTACTCATACCTTCTTCACTCCTCTTTATGTTTTGAGTGTTGAGTTGTTACACTTTCCATTATTTTCATGGTCCATTTCTCTTTGTCTTGAATCTTTTTACATTAATATATATATATATATATATATATATATATAAGTTGGCACCGCACAATTAGCAGGACATAATCGTA